AATGAGGTCAGGAAGGGGAAGGATAATCCCTGCAGCAAATCAATACACAAACCCCCTCCTGAATAAGTTGGCAGAGTAAAAACGTTCAGTCCTGGAGAGTCTTGGCAAGAAAGGAGGCAAAATACAGACAATTTTATGGATGTTAAAGGTGAAATTGAGGTCTGGACACCCAAAGTGAGTTATCTCTGTTCCTGCTTGGTGTTGATGCTCCCACCCCACCCTGAAAAGGGCACGGGGAGTGATCCAGCTGAGCTCCCTTTGTTGGCAGAGTTAAGAGGAGCTATTCCTTGCTCCAGGTGAAAAAGCAGACTGAGGGTGAAGAGAAGACAACTTGGATGCTAAAATAGAACAACAGGACAGAAAATTCCCAGCAGCAGAGGAGCACTTCAAATTTCTAATGCCACCCTCGTACTCGGTGATTTATTCTCTATTACCACCTTGATACCTTTAAAATGTCATCTTACAGAGACAAGACAGAAAGTTTTCCTATCCCCATTTCCTACTGTCATTCACCTGATCCTATAAAAGCTGCCTTTTTATCCCCATTTTCCCTCTTTAAGATGTCAGAAGGTACTTAAATGTGGTGCTCACTGGCAAGGGAATAAACACCCGACTCACAGTCCCGTCTCCCCCATGTCTGACAGGACACAAATCGTTCCCAATTTGACTCCAGGTCAAGGTTTACACTCTGAACTTTTTTACTCAGTGCTCCAAACTCATTTTCCTACACCTTGGCTACACCAGGTTTGCACACCCAAAACACCCTGTAGGCAGGAGGCTGAGGAACAGCAGCACGGGCTGGTTGGAGTGGATGGGATGAGGCACAGAGAAGGAAAAAAGTCAGGATTATTTATATTGTATTTTATTTTATATTTATATATATATTTCTATGTATATTATATATAATGTCAGGAGAATTTTATATATTTGACAAGATCCTGATGGAGATGCTGGATTTGGAGCAGGAAGGAAGGAATGCAGATTTGATTGCAACCAAATGCTGCTGCTCTGGTTCCATTAACCCACCACACCAAGCACAGCTTCTCCAAGCTTCCTCTAGGACTTCTCCCAGCACACAGAATCATAGAATAACAGAATCA